TAACATTCAATACCGAGTACATTTACCTTTATGAATAATGGGATCACGTTCCGTATATCTAACATTAAAGTTCATATCATGACATTTGTTGGCTTGTCGGCATTCCATGCGATGAGATGTTGTACGTGTTTATAAGCCTGATTGGTCTATATTTAGATGTTGGCAATATTTTCTTAAGACGGTCTATACAAAGTGTGTGTGTGTGTGTGAAAGTATGAATTTGTTATAATTTATATATTCAAATAGAGACCTTAATTCCATGTCAAATATTTGTATTCATATAAATAAATAATTTAGGCAATAATAGATATTTAAAGCTGACAATAATTTTTGGAGCAGAGTACACACTTAGGTCATTCTCAGAGTTGAATTAATAAAGTCAGGATGAAAACTGCATCATTGGTATCAATAGCTTTGTAAATAAATACAAATCCCTTTAATGCTGCTTCTCTTTATTTTTAAGACAATACATTTTGTTTAAGAACACCTCCTTTAGATTCCCTTGTCCGTGTATGTATGCGTGTATATTTCGAACCAAGCAAAACTGCTCTTTACGTGCTGCACTCATTGTTCGCGGCATTTTCATTGTTGTCGCATTTCCAACACCGTGAACATGTCCCTAGCGTGCCACCGCCGCAATGCAACGCCTCCGCCTACACCTAAATCTATTTGTACGCCATTCGGTGGGATTCTATTTTTACCGACTGATAGGTCATTAAGTTTTATGTTAATAACAATGGCCAACATTAAAAACAATGGCATTGATTGTGTAAGTCATTAATGACTTGCCTTTCGTTCGTGGGGCAATGGTTGGAAATGTTCGTTAGCCACGAAAGGATGTGAACAATTAAAATTCATTGAATGGAATTTATAGTCCAATATTCTAATGTGGTAAGGGCACGATTTTCAAGTAGTCTGTGGGTAGGTTTCCGCATTCAAAGTGGTTGTACATTGTTCAGAAGTGCGAATATTGCTGACGCTCTAAAGAATCTAGATTAAGTATGGTTACACCGCTCTATGGTAAAATAACCCATTATCGCTTGGAATAATTATTTTATACCCTCAGCCATATGGCTAGAGAGGGAGGGTATATATCAACTGGTCTATGGTTTTACACATCAGGCTTCCTTGGAGCAAATCCATTTCAGAATATTTGGAGTCAATCTAGCCAGAATATTTGGAGTCAATCTAGCCGTCCGTCTGTCTGTCTGGCTGGTGCGCACGATAAGTCTTGAAAGGCGTATTCAATTTGATCCAAACTTGGTACATCGTAATATTATTATCAACCTTAGATAGAGTTCGGAGATGAGCAATATCTGAATATTTCTGTCAACTCAGCATCTATTACAAATATGGTAGAGATCGGACCATATCTTCTGGTGTCTCCCCACAAAGGATCAAATTTTGAATAACAAAAACGATTATAAAATCCGAAAAAAACATGCGGAACTCTTCATATTTCATACATCCTATTATTTCTATTAATACAAGATCCGCTGTAAATTTCTTTGACCAGGCGTGCCAAAAAATCTGTTCATGCACAGGCAAAACTTTAGAAATTCTTGAAAAAAATAAATAAAAAATTGTTAAACGGCCGGGATGTCTGCAATGTTTTTCTTAAAAAAATACACGAATCATAGTAGCGGGTCTTCAGCAATTATGCCTCAAGAATTTACTACTTATGGATCTGAGAACATTTTGACATAATCCATCATTTTTATACCTCTTGATACGGTCAAAATCTGCCTAGTCGAAATAACGGTTTCAGACCATAGGTTTCCTTGAACCAAATCCGTTTCAGGACATTTGGAGTCGATCTAGCGATGTCTGTCTGGCTGGCTGGTGCACACAATAACTCTCGAAGGGAGTATCCGATTTGGTCCAAACTTGGTACATCGTAATATTATTATCAAACTTAGATCAAGTTCGGAGATGGGAAATATCGGTCCACTCCTTTTGGTACCTCACATACGAAACGTCTAAATTTTCAAAGAAAATAATTTACTACACTAAGAGAAAGGATAATCCGATTTTGTTCTAACTTTGCAAATCCTAATATTTTCTTCAGTTTTAGGTCATGTGAGAAAATGGACAATATCTGACCACTCCATCCAGTATCTCACCCACAAAGCGTCAACTCTTCTGGTATATCCCTCGCAAAGGGTAAAAATTTTAAATATTCATGAAGCTCAGAAAACACGAAATTAACATCCGATTCCATTCAGACTTGGCACATCTTAATATTTCCATCAACACAAGAACTGTTTTAAAGATGGTAGAGATCGGATCATTCCTTCTGGTACCAGTCCCACTAAGTGTTAAAGTTTTGAACAACCAAAACGATCATAAAATCCGAAATAAGTATCCGGTTCTCTTCAAATTACACACATAACATTTTTATTACCCCAAGGTCTAGTGTGAGCATGGAGTATACCGGTCCACTCCTTCTGGCTCCTCCCTCGCAAAGGGCTAAAATTTTGAATATTCATGAAGGTCATAAAACACGAAATTAACATCCGATTCTATGCAGACTTGACACATCTCAATATTTCCGTCAACAAAAGTTCTGTTATAAAATGGTGGATATCGAACCATTTCTTCTGATACCTCCCCAACATAGGGTTGAATATTTTTGAAAAACAAAACCCTCAAAGATATCGAAAAATAAAAATAATAAATAATCTCTTCCAAAATGTTTTTGCTAATACAAGATCTATTGAGAAGATGATATACATCTGCCAACCCCTTCTGGTACCCCATCCACAAAGGGTCAAAATTTCCAATACTTATATCTGTCATAACGTGCGGCGATTCTTTACAACTTGCTATATCTAAATATTTCTCTTAACCAAAAATCTGATATGAATACGTGCTTTATCGGATTTATGATAAAATATAAAATTGGATATAAATTTTTGATTTCCTTCATATTTGGAATACATACCAACATTTTTATCTGTTTAAATGAAGTATGAAAACGGTATACTTCGGTCCGCTTTATCTGTTACTTCACGCATATTTCCAAATTTTCCAAAAATGTTCACATACCTATTATAAAGTATAGGAAGTAGTCGATATAATCCAAATCTGTTGGTTTAATATTTATATCAGTCAATATTGGCTAACAGCTTCGGAGCCTCGCCCTTTAAGGGTGAACAGTTTGAATAATCAGTAATAATCAAACTCAAGGCTGCTGAGATCGCTTTTCCAGTCAGATTTAAATATATTTGGACCTTTTTGTGGCAACTTCTTCCGATAGATTACCCTCAGACACTTAAAAACATTCCTTTACATATACATATATAATTCTACCAAATTCCCATTATTTCGTTAACGACAGAAATAATTAATGAAGTGTTGCCAAAACATCCTCACACAATCGTAAACAATTGATTGCAATAAACTAAAAATAGATCAAAAAAACTTTAATCACAATTCTTTCTATTTTTGGTATCTTCTTTTTCATCGTCATTCTTAACAAGTTTCCTTCTGCTGCTCAATTGTGTGCTAAGCAGTCTTTAAGTGTTGCGACATTTTTTATGGCACGTTGCACATATTATCTGCTCCATTTGTTTCAGTGTTTGTACGTGTTGCACATCTTTAGACTAATATTTTCTTTTTGTTTTGATTTGTCCAGTGCTTTTGTTGATTTTGTTCTTGTTGTTGCTCTTAGTTCCTACTGCCATTGCCACTTGTTTTCGTTGTCGAACGAACATTATCTTTTATGTCAATAACGACAGCATTATTCAAAACAATGACATTCATTTTGCTGTTCAAACCCAAGCCAACACTCAGCGCAATTCCCTCTCTCTCTCCCTCTCTCTCTAACTCTCTATAGCTGGAAGCAATATTGTCGTTGTGGGAACATTTATCGTCCGTCTCTGCTTATCGTCATTGTTTTAGCACCAAGAGGATTTGAACAATTAATACTCATCGAACATTTGCCATTCATAAATAACAATAGTCAATGAGGAAGAGAGGGGGAGGGAGGGCAAAGACCAAACGATGGAATTATTTCCTGATTGTTGTGTGTGTGTATGTGGGTTGATTGGGATTTCGTTTTGTCGGAATATTATTTAGAATGCATGTGCACATTTCGAGTTTGGGAATAGTTTAAATATTTTAAAATAGAAGATATTGGGTTAGTTAGGTTTGAAATTCTGCATAAGGTGAGATGTAATGGGTTTTCGAAAAAATGGTACAACATTGTTATTTAGAGATCGCTTATAGCTAATAGCATTAAATCAACTTTAAGATGAGAAAAAGCATGGTATTTAAAAATTTCGCGCTGTTACGTTAAAACATTATTCAAAATAAACCATATTAGTTCTTTGAAAAGAAAATATTTAAAAACCTGTAAAGAATGTTTTAATGTCGGGCGGGGCCGACTTTATGATACCCTACACCACTTTGCTAATTTTGTAGAGCTCCACATAACAATTAAAAGATTTTATGGTAGAATTCAATCATACACGCTATAATTATAATTCAAAGGACTAAATATGCCGAAGCATTTGTATCTTTTAAATTCGGACTTGTATTGCCCATTTGGTGCAAAATTAATTTGAAATCAGATAAGATATATATGGGAGCTATATCCAAATCTGAACCGATCTCGACAAAATTTGGCAAAGATATTTCTAAGCTGTATTTGATATATTTCCCTGAATATCGTTGTTACGGAGTGCATATTACGGCTGTGGGTAACAAATACAACAAATCGGATGAACAATATATATGGGAGCTATAGCTATATCTGAACCGATCTTCACCAAATTTGGCATACTAGCTTCTAGACTCAATTCGGTCGCATGCGCCAAATTCCATCCCACTTGGGCAAATATTAGACATTTGCAGCCAGTTCCACGATATCGAAAAAACACGTTCGCACAACTTTTACACGACAAACAGCTGATTTCTGTTCCACTGAAATCCATCAGAACGAAAATTTGCACGAAAATCAAAGCGAACGAAAACGTAAGCATTTCAGTGTAATTTTGCGTTCGACTATCTTTTTTCTTTCGTACGCATGCGAACACAAATGTCAAAATCAGTCACTTGTGTGATTGCTATCGTATAATAACAATTAAGGAAAATTGTTTTAACATAAACATTGCTTGATTGAAAATGGAAACAAAAATGTAAGTAAAAATAATAAATGCAATTTAATATGTGAACAACAAATATATATTTTTTTTATTTTCTCAATTCCAGCACGAAAAAATCATCAACTACACAGCTGCGGGCACTAGTATATGGAGGAGAATCCTGTGTTCGCCAGAGGAGTGCCAATTTTTGGAAGCAGCAGAAGAAGTTTTAAATCGGGGCGGATTTGGGTAGTTCTGCAACCGGGCACCCTCTTCTCTTCCATCATATCCAAAAGAGCCCGAAAACTTCCTTCGACACACGAAAATTGGCCACAAACCTTGAAAAAATTATTATTATTTTTTATTATTTCAAAAATGTAAAAATACAATCATACTTACTGGTTGTTAGGTACTTCAAATAAATTCGAAGCATCTCTTAAATGCCTCCGTGGCACATTTTGAACCTCCTCCACATCATCCATAAAAAATAGGGCTACGGAAATATTCTTTTTTTTTATTTTCTAAGAGCACAAATAGTTTGAACACAATCACTAGAGTTTTTATTTTGTTTGTTTATTTACAATTTGTTTGTTTACAACTGAAATGTCAGTTGAGACAGAGCCACTGCTGCTTTTTCGCGTTTAAATTAGACATTTGGCGCTTTTTTGCCTTATTTCGCGATTAATTTTTCCAAAAAAATATTTAGCAACACTGAATCACGTAAGGCTATGCGATAGAAAGAACGAATATTAGTGGAACGCATTCTTATACGAAAATGAGTGAGTAGCCTTCGTTCGCACTAATTTTCTTTCGAGATCGTGGAACAGGCTGTTGGTGTACAATAAATGGTAAATCGGACGAAGTTATATGTGGGAGCTATATCCAAATCTGAACCGATCTCGATACAATTTGGCAAAGATATTTCTGAGCTGCATTTGATATATTTTCCCAAATATTGTTGTTACAGAGTGCATATTACGGCTACGGAGGACAAAAATAACAAATCGGATGAACAATATATATGGGAGCTATAGCCATATCTAAGCCGATTTCGAACAAATTTGGAATACTTATTTTCAGGTCTAATGTGGTTGTATGTGCAAAATTCCATACTATTCGGGCTGATATTACACGTTAGGTGCTCAATAAAAGGCAAATCGGACGAAGATATGGGAGCTATATCTAATTTTCTATCGATTATCTCCAATTTCAGTAGTGTTCGTCCTTGGGCCTAACAAATGTTGTTTGGAAAATTTCATCTCAATCGGATAATTAAATACACAAATACAGAGTGAGATGAAAAACTTGCGACCAACTTCAGACTGCTGTCATTTCTAAGCCACTCGTTCGACAGCTGTTAAAACTATTCCAGTGACAGCTCATTATATTTTTTACAAGCGTTCAAAAGCATTTTGATGAGATTTTTCCAGAAATAAATGTTATTCGTGATGGAGTTCAAGCGCGGTAATGTGATTTCTTTATATTTGGCTGGAAAACCACAAGTGGCTATCGTTAGAACACTCCAGCATTTAAATGTGAATAAATCTTTTGTGTCTCGTACCATGGCTCGTTACCGTGATACCGGTAACGTAGTCCAACGTCAAGGAAGTGGACGGAAGAAAACAGCAACATCAGCAAAAATGGTTCGAAAAGTAAAGAAGTCACTTGATCGCGTCGCAGTGACTGAAAAATGGCTCGTGAGCTGAACATATCGCAATATTTCATTCGGCAAATACTGAAAAATGAGCTCGGTGTAAAGCCATTGAAATTCCAAAAAGTGCAAGAACTTATACCGCAACGGAAAGAAAATAGACTCAAAAGAGCTAAAGAGTTGCTTCGCTTGGCCGAAAGTGGTGAACTGCCGAATTTGGTTTTTTCCGATGAGAAACATTCGTTGTCCGGCAGTTTGTAAACAAAGAAAATGATCGTTTTTATTTGCCAAAGAGGTCAGCTGAAAATGTGCACCTTCGGTTGGCCACTAGAACTCAAGCACTGACAATGGTAATGGTGTGGGCCGCCATAATAGCCGATGTTCGCTCTCCGCTCGTATTAATCGACCGAAGCATCATAATAAATGCCGAATATTATCGCGAAAACATTTTGGAGGGTGTATTAAAGCCTTAGGCTAGCAAACATTTTGGCCGCTGACCTTGGACCTTCCAACAGGACTCAGCACGCGCAACCCAAGAATGGTTACAAAATGAGGTTCCTCGCTTCATTTCCAGAGCACAATGGCCACCAAAATCTCCAGATACCAATCCGTTGGACTATTGTGTCTGGAAAATTTTGGGAAGCAAGGATGGCACTAAAAAATACCAAAGTGTCGATCACCTCAAGCAAGCGCTTCACCGGGAATGGGTCAAAAAACCGCAGAGCACCATTCTGGCAGCGTGTGACGGTTTCATTGGCCGTTTGAAAGCCATAATTCGTGCCAAAGGACACCAATTCGATCAAAGCTAAACTTATTCTAAAATTTGATGCTATTTCCGAAATTTTTGCTTTCATTCACTAAAATTAAAAAAAATAAAATAAAATAAAAAAAATGTAATAATTATGGCGTTGGACTTTGTTGCAGTTTTTTTTATCTCACACTGTATAAAAAGAGTTACTAAAAACATACTAATGATGTAATTATTTCCCCAAATATTTTACACAAATATTTCTCACCTCTATCAAAGCAAATTATTATTTACAAATACCTTGAGGAGAACTAAATAATTTTCATTACACTAATTTCAATCGACAAATTTTATTACATAATTATTGCTTTTTTTTCAAATTTTATGCGAAACTATTTGCTAACGCACAAAAAACCAATATTTACCAGGCCCCAACACCACTCAGCACCAACACTAGCCATGTTTGCAAGCATGAAATTGAACAGGGAATTCTTTGCCCATTCCATTGGCTATTCTCTTCTATTTATGGCCCCAAGCTATGTGATGAATTTTCTGGGTGTGGACATTAGCCAACATTCGACTTCCCCACCCCTCTACCACCGCTGCTGTTAATGAAATCATTCAAAATGTTTTTAATAGAATTCTTTTGTTGGGGATTTTCTACTTCCTTTCGTCCCCTCCCACCCCCACTTCTATACTTAACAAACTTTCGTCATTGTAATTTTAAATTATTTACATTTTAATTGAATATTTGTAAATTGTCCAGGGAGAGTAATTCACATAAATACATTATTTAAATAAAATATAATTAAGTTGAAGTGGAAGGAGGATGGTGTTAAGTGTGACAAAACTCTGCTGTAATTATTAGGTATTATAATATATTTATTGTCATTTATTGTCAATTGATAAGGATGATTTTTTAAATTATATTTAGTTCATAATTTAATATGAGGGGTGGTATTCTTATACGAATAATTATGGTAAGTTAGATTTGGACCTTGGTAGTTAATAGTGGTAAAGTTGTCTTTATCTATTTTATATGAAAGTATCTGTCGATTTTGTCGACAGATTTATGCCCTCAGTCAATGTTCGATTATTAAAATATATTTTGATTTCTGTTATGATTATTCAAATTTTCGACCCTCTATGGCATAGGTTTCAAAGGAATAGACTAATATTGTTTATTTTATGTCGGACTTAAATAAATATGATATAAATATTTGGACTATATTGATTACTTCCTTCTTTTATTCGAAATATGTGACAATTTTTAGAAAATATAAAAAAAAAAAAAAATCTAATACCTATAGTTGAACGAAGTATTCCATTTTTATACTTCATCTAATACAGATAAAAGTATTGGTATGGGAAAAATTACACGAAAATCGAACATTTATATGCAATTTTATGCGAAATCATAAATTTCATATTTATCTCGGGTTTCTGGTTGAGAGAAATATTTTATGTGTGAAATCTGAAGAACGTTAGATGCTTATTTCGCATTTTTTGTGCATTTTGTTTTTCAATATTTTGATCCTTTGAGGGGGAGGTGACATATTTACACAGATTCTGTCTTGATGGAAATATTGAGATGTACTACGTCTGAAAGAAATATAATGTAAATTTTTCGTTTTATGAACTTCATGGATATTCATATTTTGACCCTTTGTGGGGGGAGTTACTTGATGGAGTGGACCGATATTGTTCATTTCTGCACCTGAAACAGCACTGATGCAAATATAAGGATTTGCAAAGTTGGAGCAAAATTGGATTTTCCTTTCTCTTTCTGTGCGGTAAATTATGTTTATACCCTACAACACTATGAGTTGGGGGTATTATAAGTTTGATTGGGCCAAAAATTATGCAACACCTCGAAAAATTGGTTTCCCACATAGGAAAGAATATATGGATCTTCCTATCTCGCCGAGCTGAGTCGATCTAGCTATGTATGTCCCTCCGCCCGTCTGTCCATGTTAATTTGTAATTAAGCTACAGGTCGCAATTATGGCCCGATCCTCACGAACTTGAAATTGAAGGTAGGGTTATGGTCAGAATATAAGCCTATTGTTTTTGGAGATGATCGCATAATATTAAGGGGTTGAAATGGACCAAAAACTGAAACATTTTCTGACTTTACAGTTGTCTGATTCTACAGGTCGCAATTATAGACCAATAGGCGCGGAAGTTAGCATGGGGCTAGAGTTTAAGGCTGGGCAGAAGCCTTCCAATTTTGATGGTCATCGGGTAATATTTACTGGATAAAATAGACCATAATATTTGTGCTAAATAAAAGTCAAGTTTTCCATTAAACCGTGAATATTTTTAATCACGGCGAAACCACAAATAGACGAAAAGGTCAATTCTGACCGTTACCGATAGTAAATATGACGGATATATATAGCGAAATACATACAATGTGTATAGACAAAGAATGGCTGGACCGATTTTGACAAATTTTGTCAATTTAATTTAAAAAAAATCTTATAAAAAGATGGCAATAATGATGTTAATATAGATTTTTTAGTATTTTGTGACATATTGTAATTTTTTCATATTTTTTATCGCATGCGGTTTTTTCACCTTACAACACAGGTTGGAGTATCGTCCGATCCAAACCAAAAGCCACGAAATCTCGCATGAATTTAGAGTTTAGGACAGCGGGTGGGATGGACCACTACTTTTGTGTGAAAACAGCATTACTTACAGTCGATATGCGAAATACACAAAAGGCGAACTTCTGGCATTTTTATGCTGATTTCGTTGACGAATATAGCCAAATATCGTAGATAAGCAAATCATACAAATGAGTATAAATTGCTTTTGGAGATGATAGCAAAATATTTAGCGGTTAAAATGAACCAATAACAGAATACATTTCCTGATCACACAATTAAAGCCAATCGACACGCCCGAGAAGAGAGTTAAGGATAGGGAAGTATACTAGCATTTTGGATGACCATTGGATTAAAATTAGCTGTAAAATGGACCACAACAACTAACAGCCCTACGGAGAGCATAAATATTGAGCAAATATCCCTGGTC